CCCTGCGGCTCCGGCTGCTCAATAACGGTTTTTATTCCGCCCCCCAACCCTCCCCCCCTCCGTTCCGCGCACCCCTTTCTCCTCCCCAAAACTGCTGTGCTGCGGGGGTTTGGGCCGTTTTAGTGCGGTTGCGGTGTGTCCCTGCCTTCCTTCTTCTCTGCCCAGGTGAAGGAAATTACCTGTAGAAACACTTTGTGGCCGTCCTCCCGCAGATAATTTGGGGGCAGTTTTAAGTGGTTTGGTTTTGTTTTCTCCTCCGTGTTTTTTTGTTTTTGTTTTGTTTTGTTTTGTCGCCACGTTTATGTAACAAGTGCCTGCCTGCATATGAGGTTGGTGTTGCTGTCTTAAGGTGTTGCATGCTCTTGGGTTTGGTGAGTGCTCGTACCCGAACGTTACAAAAAATGTCTTTCCGTTGAAGAAGACAGGGGTTAAAATGAATGAAGATCTGAAGGTTAATTTGAGCTGGCTGCCTCAGGACCGTGTAGAAGCCAGCTCCACAGAGAATGTCTCAGCCGCAGGCTCCTCCCTGGTTCCTGTCGTAGACCCAGAGCCAGAGCTCTTGGTCAACCCCTGGGACATTGTTCTGTGCACTTCAGGAACCCTTATCTCCTGCGAAAATGCCGTTGTGGTTCTTATCATTTTCCATAATCCCAGTCTGCGTGCCCCCATGTTCCTCCTCATAGGCAGCCTGGCACTTGCAGATCTCTTAGCGGGAATCGGATTGATCATCAATTTTGTTTTTGCGTACCTTCTGCAGTCAGAAGCGACCAAGCTGGTTACGATTGGACTGATCGTTGCCTCTTTCTCTGCGTCTGTCGGCAGCTTGCTGGCTATTACTGTTGATCGTTACCTCTCGCTGTATTATGCTTTGACTTATAATTCGGAAAGGACTGTCACTTTTACCTATGTCATGCTTATACTGCTCTGGGGAGCGTCTATCTGTATTGGACTGCTGCCTGTAATGGGCTGGAACTGCCTCAGAGATGAATCCACCTGCAGTGTTATCAGACCGCTCACTAAAAATAATGCGGCTGTCCTTTCAGTCTCTTTCCTGCTTATGTTTGCCCTCATGCTGCAGCTCTACATTCAAATCTGTAAAATCGTGATGCGCCATGCCCATCAGATTGCCTTGCAACACCATTTCCTGGCCACTTCCCACTATGTGACCACCCGAAAAGGAGTGTCTACTTTGGCCATTATTTTGGGGACTTTTGCTGCTTGCTGGATGCCTTTTACACTCTATTCTTTAATAGCAGATTACACCTATCCTTCTATATATACCTATGCCACCCTCCTGCCAGCTACCTACAATTCCATCATCAATCCTGTAATATATGCTTTTAGGAACCAGGAGATACAAAAAGCACTTTGGCTCATCTGTTGTGGCTGTGTACCTTCTAACCTGTCTCAGAGAGCAAGATCACCCAGTGATGTCTGATTGACAGCTAGGAGGACGCTCGTTAACACATTATTTTCCAGACATTCTTGCAGCACTGTTTTTGGTTTAGATGCTTTCATTAAATGGTGTGTGTTGGGTTCATATAAAAAAACACAGGATGCACTGACCTTTTTGTAAACAGAAAAAACCCCAGTGACCAAAATGAATCAAGTGGTTTAAGGGAGATTTCCAAAATCAAAATAATCAGTGTTCATACAGATTTCTAATGTTGCTCAGGGTCTTTTGTTGTAATATAAGTATATAACCCAGACTCTGCCATGTTTGCCATGATTTTACATTAATTTTGCTAATTAACATTAGATTGAAACAACATGCCTACTTTGAAATTGTTTGTGATTGCGTTCAGTCACGATGCATGTTTTATTTTGTTGTCGGGATTTTCTTTCCCTCTTTAATTCTTATTAAAACAGTAAAAAAAAATAAAGTCCTGTTACCACAAACTCCTTTGTATATCATCAGAATACTCTTCAAAATAATGGCCAATCATACTGATTTATATGATGTTTATTGTAATAATCTCAGTGCAACAAATATGCTCTAAGTGAGGAAGCACCTGCATAGCTTTTTGTTTTAGGTCTCGGCATGAATTAGCTCGATCATTATTTTAAAGTGTTACCTGTTCTCTCTTGAGTTCTGGCTGGATGTTAAAACAGAAGATAAGCTTTGTCTTCCTTTTCAAAAATCAGGCATATGTTTTCGTCTAGCTATGGGACATCAGAGCTCATGATGCTATTAATTTTAAAAACAATTCCCCACTGAAGTTGATGGGGAGTTTTGAAATTGATGAAACAATATGGCCTCTTTTGGCTATGCGTTTGTAATAGATGCAGCACTTCTAAGTTTCTCGGACAAGTTAATCTTTTCAGAAATGTACAGGGGAATATCTAATGAAATAACCTACAAATAACTTACAACACATATTTAGCATCTGCTCTAAATGGTTCCCCTTAAGTTTGCTCTCAAGTCACAATTATTACTGCTTGTTTCTGTTTTTCGGCTATAATTTAACATTCTGAAATTTTATAAATTCTCAGAGCATATCTGGTTCATAATCGTATGCCACCAAAATTGCAACATGAAACAATTATTTTCTCCTTTTCTGGCAGTTTCATCCTTTGCAGATCATGATTCTTCACACTGTATGCATATCATTTCACTTCATTATAGGATGATAGTTCTGGTCTAAAAGGCAGAGCTTCCTCTCATGAATTGTTACATTTAAAACTGGTTATAACCTTTTACTGAAGCCACATTAGAATGCAATAGAAGTAAAACATTGTTTTCAGTAAGAATACTTGATTGTCAGAGAGAGAATCTTTCTGGAAGATTTCTTCATAAAAGTTAAGGTATATCGTAATGTCAATGCCTGAGAGTTTATATTACCACTATTAGTGTTAATGGGAGCAGCATGTGTTAATGCCTTGGCATCAGTATGAGGTTATATTCCCTTGAATGTCAAAGTCAGTATACTGTATTGTTGCTTCAGTATCTTCCATTACAGTTCCAAAAAAAAAAAAAAAGTCACAAGTGTAAAAATAGCAATATTTAAAGTTCAATGAAAAAATTTGCCTGTATTATAGATAGTAGAGACAACCGTGTTGCTGATATGGATTTTTTCAAATGGAATCTTTCCTTTTTCACATGGATGTTTGGATGACTGTAGCTTTTTGTGGCAGAGTTTCTGTGATGTTAAGAGTCATATGGTATACACAAAGCTGAATCTCAAATGTGGATGAGTTTTCTGTAAGCAAAGCTCTGTAGAGATTTTATCAGCAATAATTAATTTTAGTTGCAATGCTGGGTTCAAATTCCATTGTTCACTTGGTTCAACCTTCATGATATTTGGCTTTTACTTTATAATCTAATTAGTTTTAAAAATGCATGGCATTACCCAGTAGAGCTGTGAACTTACAGCTCCCTTGGCTTAACCGCAATTTACAGATGCTCAGCACAGTTAGACTATGGCCCCTACTCTGTAGGATACTGGTATTCTTCATCTACTTCTGAACGCTAATGAGAATCTAGTCATTACCATGCTCCTGTTTTGTTATGAATTTTTGTATAAGAAATAATCACTTCATAAATATCCATGCTATGTATGCATGCAATTTTGCAAGTATGCAAAAAATGGAAATAAATGGTAGAAATCATGAACTGAATAATGTAGAGAGGCTGTGAATGGCACCTTTTAAAAGAGCAAAGAAGGTATGTTAAAATCATACAATGTGTATCCCTCTCTCGCTTCTCTGTGCGATTGTTCTTCTGTATCGAATTGCTAAAAACTGTGATGAGAATGAACTGCTATAACTGTGACCATAATTCAGTCGTGAGGGTGACTGTTTTGCTGCTTGTGCAGACCTGTTCTCTTCCTGTTGGTCACCTCACAAGTGCTAATGTTTTTCTCTCCACAACACCTGGGTGGTAGGGAAGCCAGAAGAAAAATAGCACAGAGGGAGGTGATGTTGTCCGCTCTTTTCATGCTGGTTCACCTAGTGTCCTTGTCATCTTCCTCGCTCCACAGGCTGCCTAAATCTGCAGAGGCTCTCCGGAGTGCCGGGGGAGCCGACCTTTTCCTTGTGCCAGAGTGGAGAGATTTGTAATTGGAAGCTTCTCTCCTGAGGAGAAGTCTGAATCAAATGGAGGAAAGAAGGATTAATTATAGAAGTCACACAAAGCTAGATTGTAGGGATATGATTTGCCCTCATTTGAGGGGTAATGCATGGTTACCTTTCACAACAAACAGATGAGAAACACAGTTTTGCTGCTAGAGCTACTACTGTGACCTCTAGTGAGGATGTTGTCTAAGAAATGTTCTTAGATTGAGACTGTGCAGCAAAGACCAGAAAGTCCTTCTGGAAGTCAGTGACATGGGTTTCTCTACAGCTGCCAGACAGACCATTAAAATCATTTATGATTTACAGTATTGGAGAGACGCTATGTAACACACCTGTGAGCAAACTCTTGTCCTCTGAGGGAGGAGGGGCAGAGCTGTGGGTGCAAAGCTGCCTACCTCCCTTCTACAAGAAGGCAAACACTTCTCAGACCCTGCAGAATTCAACAGTTCTCTGCTCTCCGCTTGAAGTATGTGGGCAGTTGCATTGTAGGCCCCCGTCCCCTATGGGAAGGTGCCAGTATCCTTTCAACATCCCTCTGAAACTGATGGAACTCCAGCCAGCTTGTAGGGTTGCATCATTTTATAGTCACGTTAAACAACACCTGTGCATAAGCTCAGAGGTGTTAAATTGACTCTTTAAAGTATAGTGAAGTACCTTGCCTGTCTCCAGCATAATGACAGAAATGTGCGGGAGGGGGGTTTTAATGCATAATTTAGTGTAAGGAATTTTGAGTTTATTTTTCATGCTTGACCTGTCGTGAGTAACAGGTTGTATCTTGATAGGCAAAATTTACTGTAGATAGTTTTTTCATATACTCAACCTCAAAGCTTGTGTGAGGGGTTTTGGTGTTTGGTTGGTTGGTTTTGGTTTTTTTTACCATTCCTCCTAACAGTAAGAATTTCAGCAATAAGGGAAAAGTGCTTGTATCATAACAGCAATAAAATCCTCCATGTTGCAGGTACTATAAACTGCTGAGTAAACTCAGAGCAATAGAGAGGAAGCAATATATTCTTTAGACAAAAAGTAGTAACTTGCATGAGGACTTTAAGTAAGCAGAAGTCTTCCTTTGTTAAGCAGTTGCTATTGGACTGATGTGAGACATTTTCTGGTTGGTTTGTGTTACAATCATTTGAGTTACTGAATAGAATTACTCAGCAATAACCATTTACCTTAGTTTTTGGATCCTGAATGCTATTTGTGAGAAAATTATGTACTGCAGTAGGGTTTTTTTTTTACTCTTTTCATTGTTTGGCATTTAGTTGTACAGCAATGCTTGGATAAATTCATTGTGTTCATGATTTCTGGTTGTAACTTAATACTGAGAATACCCTTCACCCCCCCCAAAAAAAAAAAGAGAGAGAATCCTCAAATTTATGATGTCAGTCAAGCTGGATATAATAGATGGGGTTAACCAGTTCCAAAGGTAATTCGGTACAAAAGATGGTGATTGTGGCATCATTGAAGAAACCACCTGCCAATACCTAGGATATTTGGAAGCAAGCTGAAAGGTCTGTTACAGCTGCTGTTCGTTCCCACTACGGATGCTCAGTGACATAAGCAGCTGCATCCATCCTTCACATTCAGGGGCCACCCTCGAAGGATCTTGGAGCCACTGAAGTCACTCCAGGGACAGCAGTGAACTTTGGTTTGGGCGAGCAGCCATTTCATCTGCCAAAAGTTGTATTTCTGTTGCCTCCTTTTTTCCAGAGTTATTTAGCTGTTATGGATTCATTTAGCTGAAATGGATTCATTTCTCAAAGGAGAAATTCATTTCTCATAGGACACCTGTGGATTCATTTCTCACCTGCAGTGTCAGTGGAAATTGGGATAAACTAGCATCACTAATAATCAGGCCACTGAAACATAATAGCGTATTTATGATTTTAAAAATGGAGGTTCTGTAACATTAAGACTCATATTTTCAAAGTGTTGGCCTTGACCTTTCATGCAGAGAAAATATTTGACCTGTTTTTGTATGTACAGTGAACAAAGACAAATAGAGTTGGGCAGAATGGTCACTGTTTAAAAAACACTAGCTGGTCTATTGTTTTATTTCAGATACTGAATAGTTCCCTGTCCTTGAAGTAGAAACTAACTCTGGCAGTATCTACAAGATCCTGAATGCGCACAAGTTAATGTAGAAGCATGGTAGCAGAGGTAGAAGACTAAGCATGGTTGGCAATGCAACGCAGTTTGAAAGCACAGCTCGGTCTTGAGTGGGAATAGGAATGGTATACCTAGACACAAACTGTAGACAGATCAAGACCTAGGTGTACAGAATAGCATCAGAAATGGGTGAACAGCACCTCGTTAAGTCTTACTACTGCAAGAAAACAGTATCTGGTGGAATCTCACTGGGTATAGATCCTATATCGTAAGAACTGTGAGCATATTATAAAGTGTTACTGGCCATCTCTTCAGGAAAAGGTATCAGTGTACTTTGGAGGAGATCAAGAGTCCAGCTAGACCTAGGAAAGGAGTGATTAAAGGGGGATGTTAAGTGCCCGCATGCAAACTGATCACATCTCTTGGAAAAGGTCTGAGAATCATTTTGATGCCTTGGCTGCCTTCTGGGGCATCTGATTTGAGAGCAAGAGGTTTCTCCCTCAAGAAATTCAGGAAGTACCTGTGGCTGATACATTACATGCATTGAAGACAATAAATAATCTACATCTCTTCACATATTTATCAAAAGGAACAAATAACTCTTTGCAGTCAGAAATGTTGTTTGCAAATAGGCAGCGTCTTTTCAATAGGGCAATACCACAGGAAACGACTTTAGGAAAACAGTTTGATAACCTCAGCGATAAATTTGGAAAAACAAGGTTTTCAGACACAATGTATTGCATGTTATAAGATTAAGTCCTAATACAAGAGATCATTGCACGGTAGCAAGAAGTCCTGTAACGAGAATGGCGTTAGGCAACAGGGCTACTCAAAAGCATGTGAAATTCAATGTTTAAAAATAGGTTACTGCAGATAATGGTGCATTACTATAGTTGGGAAGGATAATTGTAAATAATATTTGAATTTCATGTATTTTTGAATGCCGTTTCGAAAGCAATGGTTTACCATTTCTGAACTACTACCGCTAAGCCAAACTAAACGTGGCATTGAAAGGGATGTGCAGTGAAAATAGATAAGACCTCTCAATCTCTGCTTATAAAGAGGAGACTAGAAGGAAGAGATGTGCTTTATATATAATAAATAACAAATAGTATAGGGAAGATAAATCAAGCATATTTATCTACCCCTGCCTCTCAGTACAAGAATAATGGGACTTCCAAAAAAGTTGAAAGGCAGTGTGCTTGGATATACTTTTTTCGTACAAAGGGAGATTGCCCCATACAACTGGCTGCTACTGGTTTATTGAAACCAAGAATTTGCGGGTCCTTTTAGTGGATCAGAAATCTGAATGAACAGTGAGGATATCTGTTTTACCATTAGGTGGATGATGAAAGATGAGGGGATGCAACTCTTCATGGTTTGGGGGATCAGTGCATGATGCTTGAGCTTGGATAGGAGGGGTGTTTGAATAAAAGCATCCTCTGTGATGCTTTTATTCTGAGCTGTCCGTTTTGAAGGCTCGTGAGCCTTCCCTGATGCACATGGGGCATCCGAGCGGATGCCGTGGGACTGTGGGCATTCATGGGCTCAGTGGAGCAGTCCTCGGTCCTGGAGCCTGGCAGTGTTGCTGTTACTGTGGAGTGGTGTCCAGTGAGCAGAAAGGAGGAGCTGTGCAATAACGAATAGGCTTGGAAGTCAGGTGTTCCTCCCATGAAAATATGACCACATAGGTTTTATTCAGATCATTACTTGTCTCAGTAGCACAGTCTTACATAGCTCCAGTTGAAATAACACGGGGCTTTTTGTGAATAAAGACTGAAACTATGAAAGTAGAGCCATCAGCAGTTTATTTTACCTAAGTTATATATTCCTATTTCTTCTGAGGAGCAACTGGACCCTTAACTTTACAGAAACTGTTTCTTCGAAACCAAGATGCCATTGCACTAAAAGTGTCTGTACTGAAGTTTACTTAACAAATTTTTTGTAGATCTTCTAAAAACAATCAAACTGCTATCAATTGCCTTTTGAGGAAATTGTCCTCACCTCCCCAAACCTGTTGTTTTGTACTCTACAAATTCCACGGTGATTTTTACAAATTCTTACTGACACATGGAATACTTAACTGGACAAGATAGTAGCAGGACTTTCCATTAATTAATTTTAAAGTTTCTTTTCAAGGCAACTCAGGTGGAGGGGACTTTTGTGTCCCAGAACTAGTTAAGCTGTTTATACTATTTCTATATAAAGATACTATTTCTATACAAAATAAACCTGATACTATTTCTATACAAAATAAACCTTTCTAAAAAGCACAGAGTTCTTAGGGACAGCTGCACATTTAAGGGCTTCATCAAATTACTAGCGTAGAAGTAATTCTGATGATGACCACAAGATTACTTTTTTTTTTCTTCAGTAAGTAAATCTGGCACAGTCCTCTATGTTTAGAGAACCTGCCTTTCAGCAGTAGTAGTCTCTCTCATAAGTACAGTGTTGCATTCTTATATACTTGTATTTTAATAGATTCTATTCAGTAGACAAAAAAGAGGAAAAAAAGAAAAATGCTCTAAAATGATTTCTTAGCTTTCTGCAAGCTCCCCAGATTTTTAACTAGGACCATTTAGATAACCTTTGGTAACCTTATGTTTTTATAGTTTGCTACAGCCCGTTCAAAAAGATGTACAGCTTTTTTTTTTTCATTTAACTTCTTTGATGAGCATTTGCTCTGCACTGAACATTTATCTCATTTATTTGCAGGAAAAAAAAGCAGGTGAATTGCTGCTGGTAGACTGGTGATATCTTTTTATCCTCTAATCATTTAGTCCCAGCCGTGTGATATACTGTCATATTTAGGTACAAACCTAGTTTTGCTTTCTCAAAGAGAAGAAAAGCTAGTACTAACTGCAAATGCTGAAGACTCCATCCTGCAGTGATGGAGGAGCCTTACACTTTTGAGGAATAGATTGCAACAAATAAGATTTAAAGTAATACATACAAACTGTTGTCATAAGCAGACTAGTTCTTAAAAGGTAATAGATTTGTTAGAGAACTTAGGTAATAGTTATGTTACATGCTGAGTGGAGAGAGAAGCAGTGTCTTAGAACTGTTTAGTATCCCATCAATTTAAGTATAATGAGATACCATAATTAAATATCATACATAATTATGATTATTTAATATACATGGTAAATATGATGTGTTAAATATCATACTCTGTGCATACAGTGTTGTAGTGGTCAGAGTGTAGCGACTTTGCTGAGGCAGAGTAAGAGGAAGATGAATTTTCATATCTCTAATTTGGGCAAATCCCACTGCCAGCTTTGGAATTACAGGAGCATCTTATATGGCCTCATCTCAGAATACAAAAAGGATGTGTATCACTAACCTGAGCCTATATAATAATTATATATTCCTAGGTACACTGTTCTCTTTTCTCTCCTCTCAGGTGCTTTCATAACAGGACTCTACAGGTCATGGATCTAAACAGGAGTCCACGTAATCCTATGAGGCAGGTGCACGTTTTGCACTGGCTGATGCTAATCTGGAGGATATTGCAGTATCTAAGAATTCCTGTACATTTATTTTTAAAAGGCATGCCAAATATACATTTGCTTCAAGAGGACACTCTAGGGAAAGGGAGAGGACCTGTAAGATTTGGGGCCAAAGTATACAGATTTTAATGCATGGATTTACGCTAGTCCCCACAGAAGTTTTTTCTTAGAAGTTCAACATTTGCTAAGACCAAACCTGACAGAACAATAGGCAATTCAGCTTCTGCTGCTTTCAGGGAAAAGATATTTTTCAGCATGTAAATGGATGCAACGTGACCTGGCCCTCTTAAAATGGAGATACTTGTGCCCTGAAAGGGATGTTCTGTTGCATCCCCAGGGGGGTCAGGGAGTCAGTGTGCTCCATCCATGGGTTTTTATGCTGCTCCTTGGTTCCCTTCTGACACCTTAACTTACTCCCTTGATATTTGAGCAACCCTCAGTCCACCCCTTGCCAGGGTCTGACAAGAAAACGTCTGCACTGAGGTAAGGAGCAGCATGGAGGTCGGGCTTTTCTATGAGTATTAATCACAGCAGAGATCTTTCTGCAAACTAGATAGAAAACAGCAAGCCTGCTTCCGTCATGTTTCAAATTAATTTCTATTCCTTTGTTTTGCAATTCCCTGCTGATGTTAGCAGAGGCTGCCTTTAGGCTGGGCAGAGGAGAGTAAAACTCAGTGCTGGGAGTTAGCACATTCAAGTATGCAGCTTTTTACCCAGCTGCTGTCCCAGAGCACAGTGGCTGAACATACAGTAGTCTACTTCTGAACTCAGCTTGGTCCCACAGGTTAAAATGTATAGGAGGGATGTGGTTTTCCAGAATCTGGAAACAATGCAAGTGATTTGTGCCAAAAGTATGGAATGGATATTGCAGCTGAAGAGGCAGGTAATCTGCATAGATTACGTATACATCAAAATATTCAGGCAATCTCTAGCCCTGCTTGCCTATGCTCGGATATGTTTTGGGCTGAAGCTGATAGCAGCCCCATGTACGTGCCGAAGAGGAGAATATGGGCTCTTCTGTTGGGCCTCACAGTGGGCCTCAGAGCCTGCTGAAAGGAATGGACTTTCTTCTTGTTGTTGTTTCTAGAAGTAGCTGCATTAGACCTCTATCCATTTTGTATGCCTGCATCTCTTTAAGTAATTGGGGCCTAAAATTTACAGTAGTATTGTCCTTTGTTTGGTCTCAGCTTTATTGTCACAGCCAAAACCTACAAAAGTTGACTGTAAACATGCTTATAAATGAAAGGAAATTTTGTAGAATAGAAATGTTGTAATTGTGCCTCTGAAATACAGCTATAAAATTATGTATTTAGCTCCAGACCATGAAATTAGAATACCCTGGACTAGTAGTACAATTCATAATTTTCTAGACTTACTAACTGGACCCTTACTTTCTTTTTCTTACCAAATACAGTTAGGTATAACCTATAATTTATCATACTCGTCAGCTCAAGAAGTTCTCAGAGAGAACTTTTCCCAGGAACCATCATACAATGTAAACTCCTGATACTACTGCCTGCTGTGTGGTCCCATCCTGAATTCCAAAATGTTTTGCAAAAAGCAGCTGCATGGGGATAGTTTTTGCATTACAGATCTCATTAGGAGCCAGACAGCTTTAAACCACTGAGTTGAATTCTGCATCTAGTGCTTTTCATATGAGAACCAGTTACTGGTTTAGTAGATAAAGGCTTGTGGTTATTTCTTATACTCACTATTTAGGTCTTTTTCACTTAACTGTGGGTGGAGTTTGAACCGTAGCTTACAAGTATGTAAAGTAATTTTAAAAGGAAGCGCATTATCTTTGCCTCAATTTCCCTTAAGATTAAAGCTTTGGATTGCAACTACAGAGCTTCTTGTTGTATACAAGACAGTCATTTAATGCACTTTATTTAAAAAAGGCACAAATTATTTTGTTTATAAAATGTTACAATTGCACTATGCTGTAAGAATCGGTTACTAAATATAAACTGTACAGTTTTGTAGTCAACATTGTGTTTAGTCATAAATGATTGAAACAATTACATGTTTCAGTTAAATGTTAATTTTATATGTGGTATATATAACTAAATAAATTTTCCTTTCTAAAAAAAGAATGATTGTCCCTTTCATTCCATTGACTTTCACATTCTATTTCAAATAACAAAATAGTATTCTTTTTAAAAAATAAAATTAAATATGTTCCAGTGCAAAGAAATGGCAAAAGATGCTATCTAAACTCTGCGAATTAAAATCAGATCTGCAAGTTCAGCTGAACTTCTGTAGATCTGCTGTATCCACTAACACCACATAAGGACATCCCAGTCGGTATAATTTTCTACCAAAAGTGTGAAAGAAGAGTTGGCACAAATTGTTGAATGCAGAGTTGTAAGTGAAAGTCAGAGTGCTCTTCCAAATTTGTATGTCTCATACAAATTAATTTTCCTCTACTGCACTTATCTTCTGATGCACTGCATGCATTGTCACTGTATATGCTCATATTTGCTGAACGTATTTCAGGGGGGATATACAAGAGGGTCTGAGATGGATCTTGGAAAATGTTAATACTTAAATTTGAGTTGATCATATCAACTGGGAGAGGTAAGAGTCAAAAGAAACTATGTTAACTTAGTCTTTTTCTTGACTAAGTTTGGTTCTCATCCTGCGGTTAAGTAACTGCAAAATCAGTTGCATGATTGAGTTCTGTGTTTCAAATCTGACTGTATTATAAACAGGCTAAAAGAAAAAAAAACTGATCTCTGATTTTTCCTAGTTAAATTTAAAAAAAACTGTTTTGTGGTTTAATTCTTTTGAATAATTTTCTCGAATAGGCAGCTTATTTTCCAGGCACATAAGTTGATGGAAAGAGCTAAACCTGTAACCCTGAAACTGACCATTCTGTACTGTAGTCAGTGAAAGCATGACTTCTGAAAGAAGTTGGGCAGTAGCCAACAGATATTCAGGTAAGTAATGGAAATCAAGGCTGTTTCCTTTGTAACAGTAAGTCCTGGGCTCTGGTGTGTGCTGTGCCTACTTAGCTGGAGAAGATCCTCATGACCTTTACTTCACCCAGACACAGCTGTCCTCTCCACCTCTCACATCAGACCTGCAGGCCCCAGCTACTTATTCTGGAGACAAAGAAAGTGGTATCATGGATCGGGGTAGTGCCCTAGTTGGTCTTTCTGCAATAAAACTACAGCCAAAAGGCTACACAGTGGACTTGGTGATCAGGATGTACTTGATAAATGGTTCTTGCCTAACTCAGCATGAACTGCAACTACACAGGATATACCCTTAAAATCTGCCAGCCTCTAATCTACCAAACTGGAAATTGAATAAGAATTAATGAGAAGAAATACTAAAGAAGACATGCTCCATCAAACAGAGAAGTCACAACATGTTATAAATGCATCACAGTAACTAGAAAAAACAACATACTAATATAATAAACTAGATTTACTGCTCCCATATCAAACATGCCTTCTGTAAAGACTTGGTCTTTGATAATTTTGTGTTGCTTTGCGTATTTTTTTCTCCCATAATGCTGACAGAGACAACAGGACAGGGAAAAGGGCTGTGACTGAGCATGTTACTATCCAATAAACACTCTGTAATAATGACTATTATTTAGTCAAATTTGGCACTGTTAGAAGAAAAGCTGTAATACCCACTACAACAGGTGTAATATTAGAAAGTGTTACAACATAAAGATGAAGACTGCTTCCACTAAAAGGAGCAGCTAAAAGGATGAAATGCTGGCAGGCAGCTAAGAGATTCTTTAAGGACCCTGCAGTAAGATATGCTTTGCATATCTTGCATGTATGTACTCTTCCCATCAAAAAAGCCCCTGAAAGGATCTCAAAAAGAGTGTGAGATTAGATAAGAGATGGAGCAGACTATTAGAAGCAAAGAGAGAATGTATGTCCAAAATGAAAAGACCTTTAACTAGTCAAATGTATAGTCATAATAAGGCAAATCAGAGAACGCTTTGAGGGGCAGTTTGTGAAAACATAAAAAACCTCAGTTAAAAACTATCACAAGCGGAAAATTTACCCAGACAATCTGTGGAAACAGTGAAGTCTTTAAAAAACAGGCAGTCAAAATAAAGCTGTGGAGAAAAGCAAAATGAATATTTGCATCAGTGTTTTTTTGAAAAGGGGTTTAGAAATCTTTCCGTACTGGGGTCTTTCTTTATGGAGGGAACAGTCTGAAGAATTGTCTCTATTGGGGCAAATACCTGCCTCTGACAAGACCCTGGCTGGAGGTTAAGCTGACTGAAGAGGAGATGAGAAACTACTGGATACAACATGAGAAATTGCTGGACGTGACAGATAATGATGTAACAAGCTGAAAAAGTTAGATAGCACCATGAAGGATGGCTGGATTTCACAGGTGGTTGTGGCGGGGAGAGGTTATGGGAAGCAGCCAAACTTTGCAGATAGAGGAGGACCTTTTGGGATTGAGAAGTTGCAGAGCCAACACTACCTAGGTTATCTTGTTATTATTCATACAGTCACCTAACATCAAACAGCAATAAAATCAAAACAGCATCAAAAATAATAATTGGGATGTGGATGTAGCAAAAAAGGGACCAATGGGAAAAAATAATTAAGGATAGGTTGTTTATTTGGGAGGGGAGGGTGCAAGAATGGTGGAAAAAGAGGGTGAAGCAGCAGGAAAAGGGATAAGAAGTATGCAGGTCAGGTGGCCAGGGCTATTTGGGGGTCTCTTTGGGCAGCTCTGCACTTAATCACTGCAGCCTAAGCGAGGACAATAAACTGAACCTGTTCTGACCATAGCCTACCACCATAGTCAGGAGGACTGGGGATGAGTGCAGTAGTTTCCCTGGCAGGGGAACAGCTGAGGTGGGTGGATTCAGCATCTTGATCTCACTGTGCTGGTACCTGTTCCACACCTGACAGTATCAGCATCATCCTAACAACCTCACAGCAGCTGCCTAGAAATATTATTAGGAGGGTAAAAAGGATGGCCAAATCAATAAATTGCATAGTAAAAAAGCTGACGAAACTTGGTTGTACTCAGCCAGAGGAATTCCCATTAGAACGACTGAAGTATTAATGAAGTTTTATGACCGGTAGGTATCCTGACTCTGTTCTTATTCAGTGCAGATAATTTCCTTCTCTTCACGAAGCTATCCAGCACAGCAGTGTACCATGTTCAGAAAGCAGCTCTATTATTAAAATAGTGTTTTAGATTAACTGGGAATGGAAGGTCGTTGGCAACTTTTAGACCACCCAGTAACGGCTAGCTTGTGTCCCCTGCCAAAAGTGCAGCACTTCATGTACTTGTATTTAGCTATCAGATACTTTTCTTAACTGTATCTGGAACTAAGAGATACATTTACTAAGAGTAAATGACTGATTTTTTTATAATGGGGAAATGGTTTTTTTTATAATGGATATTCAACAGAAGATTTCTGTGATCAATAATTAATGTGTATTTACAAGCATAAAATAATTGAAAGCTATCATGCATATCAATTCTCATGCTGCAACAAACAAAAGAAAGTTCCTTTACATTAGGTCTGCTGGTGGAAATTAAACAGAATAGTCTAGCTTTAGCCTTTGGTTCATGGAGACTCTAAGCTACAATTCCAGCTATATATCTGTCATATAGCTCTTAAGTGTCTGTGGGTCACTTCAAAGATGAGCTGCTGGGTTAGGTAGACCTTTGGACTGACTAGGTACCTTATATTCTTACTAAACTCTTATTAGCGTTCATATTTATAGCAGGGTATCAGAAAGTGTCTATAACCTCATCACTAAGCTGTAGCAAGAATCTTTGATGTCTATTCAAATTAACAGACCTCTGCAGCTGCTGGATATTTTACCCTGCCCATTGAAAAATGCACGGGAAATATCATCATAGTTTGGCAGTGTATGAAAAAGAAAATTCCATTTGCAGCTACTCAGGCTTTTAAAAAATAGCCCAAGTCATATACACCTTTTAAAGTTGTTTTGAAATGATCTAGGACCATATGGGTCTAAATAAATTTTTCTCTAGAATTGCTTTTAAGTGTAGCAGCTCATACCCAATTCTTTTTTTGTTTTGTTTTGGATTGAAAGTTCATCCTCAGAAAAAAAAACAATGCCACCTGGGGTTGTTACTCTTTGCGTTCCACTGACTTGGATGGAAGCTGAACAAATGCTCTCTTACTTCAGCATCCTCTTCTGGTTGAGGATTTTCTTGGGTATTTGTTCTTTCATATCTGCCAAACTTTTTCATACCCCCCCCCCCCCCCCTTTTTTTTAAAGGGTGCCCTTTCACCTTGGCATCCTTTATCTGACAACAAAGGGGTTTGTTCATGTACCAGGACACTGTCTTCCCATCAGTGGCTTAGCATAGCTAGTTTCATCTTTATCATGATGTATGTGTCTAAATGATGCTTAACAGAGACTCTATATAAATGTGTTTTTAAGATGCCTTGAGTTTGCCATCATCATCATTATAAGTTGTCAGACTCAAAAGCATTCTCTTATGATTTGCTGGCCAAGGATCATCACAATCCAAATCATTCCGTTTACAGGGGTTGTGCAGGACAGGCATGTGGAAGACGCAGAGGAGGTGGCAGGCTGTAGCTGTGTTTTTAGGATAGGAGAGAGCCATTACTCCCAAGCGCTATGTCTCAGCCATTATGTGGGTCTAATCCCACTTAACTCCAAAAAATCTCCTCAAACCAGCCTGCAACGTCTCACACCTCTGGATGTTCGTACTCTTTCCTGTTAACAAAAGAAAGGTGGCAAAGCAGTGACTGGAAGGAAGCCTTCAGGTTTCTCCCTTCTCTCTTAAATACCCTCCATCACTGCAGTTTCCTGTTCCCTTTTACCTGCTTCAAAGAGCAGGCCTTTATCAGCAGTGCTGCTGGCTGTGCAATGCGAGCATGTCCCTACAAATTACTATGTATGTTCTGAATTCCCATTTTATTAGTTGAATTGTGCACCTCAAAAGGTGTCAGACAGGAGAGGGAAGCATTTGCTATTTGCCAGTTTGACCCAATTAAAAAAAATTCCTTCCTGACACCAAAGCAAGCAGTCAGATAGATAGACCCACTG